AGAAATGACAAACACAGAGAAAAGATGTGCCCGTCTTCTGCTTGTGAGTCAGTCTATTTATCTTTCTCTCCCCACCCTCCTCTGGTTGTTGTTGTTGTTGTTGTTGTTGTTGTTGTTGTTGTTGTTGTTGTTGTTGTTGTTGTTTTTCAAACTACCAGCAATCCAATCAGGATATTGGTGACCCAGAAGTGGCTGTGACGCATCTCTGGCCAGATGGAACCAAATCTAATACCTCTGTAATGCCTCAGCCTCTGTAGGCCACAGCAGCATTGTTATGTGTGTGTGTGTGTGGGTGGGTGAGCGTACGAACCTTGCTTCACTGCACCCCGCCCTTGCAAATATCCCTGGGTAACCCTGTAGTCGGGAGGTCACACAGTCATCAGGCAGGATCAGTGTGAAAACAGCTGGGGTTGTATTTGTAAAGCTGCTCAGTACCAGACTGTGGATCTGGGGTGCTAGGCAGGTCACATGACCCAATAAACCTCCCTTTAGCTTCAAAGGACAGAGGGGAAGAGACTGGCCTCGGATCAGATCCTGAAAGGCCGATAAAAGCTGATTTAACACTGAACTCTCTCTGGTTGAGGCCAGTGGCAAAAACAACAACCTTAAATTCAGTGAGATTTTAGAGGTTTTGCATCACAAAGATATTATTAGTGGAGCATATTTTAACAGAGGTATGACTTCCCACAAAAACAGTCATTGTCCTTTAAATTATAATCCTTAAGATTTTAATCTGGAGACTGCTGCTCATTTATGTTGGCACTGCCCTTTTGTGAGACTTTGTATTTTACTCACTGCAGCCATATTGATGAAAGTTTTATATTCTTTTGGAAACATATACTGCTTGTCATAGAAACTATAATCTGTATGTCACAATTTTTTTCATTTTAATGGATGAATTTCATATTCATGAATAATAATTTACAGGTAAAAAGCCAAACTTCTTCCTCTTGGTTGTCAAACAAGGACCTCAAACAGTACATTGATTCAATTTATAAATCCTAACACTGTTAAAACGATTAACCCTGTTTTTTTGTTTAAAATTTGTATATGTAATTGTAACTCCGCCCCACTCACAACTGTTGATTTTCTTTCCTTTACAAACCATATGGTCTGAATTTTCTTTATGGCCATTTAACTGCAAAAAAATAAAGACTTAAGTGCTGGTTGATTTGGCAACACCTGTGGCTGCCATAGCAAAAACATGTGCAGTTTAATACTACAGGTCCCAGAATTCTGTGGGCAGCAAACACTCCTCCAGCAGCTACTTTGTAGTCTTGTTTTGAGGTAGAATCACTGTCACGCACAAAGACACTGTGTGTCCTGAGACCGCTTCACAAAAAAAGCCACCAACTGTTTGATCAGATGAAACAGCAGTGGGAAATGTTTGTTAAGTTAATACTGCTCTGGCATGGATGTAAGAGAGTGAGCAGTAAACAGTGAGGTTAATATTAATGAGATAAAATCAAAAATAGTAATGACCAGCATGCATTGCTTTCTGTGAATCCCTTGTACCAGCACGGAAATGGCAGACTCTGCCACTTCTGTAATTATAGAGGTAATTACAAAATGTAATCAGCGCTAATCTCTGTGACAAACACACTGTGTTTCCTATGACTGCTTCACAATAAAAGCCACCCTGTGTTTTGCTGTCTTGAATGTTTTTGATGTGAACCATCAGCGGTAGGAAATGTTAGGTGAGCATTAGCAGTAACGTCATACAGCTCTGATACATCTGAGTATTTCTACTGATTACAGAATGTAAATACATTGAATGGCTGAAAAAATGTTATCCATAAAAATTGTAAAAAAAAAAACAGGGTTTGATTCACTTAAAATCTTAATTGAATTATAAATTAAAAGCAGGATTACAAGTTTATACTGAAAACTAGCATCAAAATGCTACATGTTATTATTAAAGACAGAGGACTGTGATCATACATTTATACAGCACTGTGTGTTTAATTTCCATTAACTGATCTGCGCTAGCCATCATCAACACCCCCTACGCTCTGATGTTTGACTACAGATTTCATTATTTCTCTTATCCTCTGTTGTGTTCACACATCACTTCAAGACAAATTCTGTCTCAACCTTACAGCTGGAAACAAATTCAAAGATGTCGCAGCAAATTGACCTTTTCAACTCCCACACTGTCCCATTTAAGAACAAATGGAGCCATCTGCAAAAATGTTTTTGTTTCACTTAATGCCTTGAACTTGAACCAGTATATTGTGAAAAAGCAATTTCTCAGTCCTGTGAGCAAGTGAGCAACACACATCGAAATGTGTATCAGCTGAGTGTATCCACAAGCAACAGCAATCTTTGTGCCCGTGTCTCCAGAGGCATGTAAAACTTATACACTGATAGTCAACAGAACAGCAAGTCTTCTTCTCTGACCTTTTTTTCCCTTTCAAATGTCAACGGCTGTAACTCGCTGGTGTGTCGCAGCAGCTCGTCCTGGTTATTCTCTCCCTCTATCTACCTGCTCATCAGTACAGCTAAAACACACACTTGAACAATCACTCAGTACACTGATACAGTATGTGGATGTCTGTGTTTGTGTGTGTGTGTGTGTGTGTGTGTGTGTGTGTGTGTGTGTGTGCATGCGTGTGTGTGTGTGTGTGTGTGCCATAATCTCAATACAATGGCAGCTTTGACTACAGTATGTGGCGATGTTATTGAGTCTAGTGGGACTGATTTAATCAGTGCAAAATGACTGACAGCTCTATGAATGTCATGTCACGAACTGGTGGCTGCTGACAGGAATGACTTGTCTCACACACACACACACACACACACACACACACACACACACACATACACACGCTCACACCCCCTGCATTGTACCCATACACACATACACACAGTGGTTCAAAATGTACGCAAGCACCATCATTGTGAATGAAAGTGCAAGCATGCCTTTTGCTGTGTGTGTGTGTGTGTGTGTGTGTGTGTGTGTGTGTGTGTGTGTGTGTGTGTGTGTGTGTGTGTGTGTGAATGACAAGCCTCCCCACTTAACAGGTATATGAAATAGAAAGAGACTGTGCCTCCCTCAGCAGAATACACAATGAGGGTTCAGGCTGTGCTGTATGTCTCTGTCTGCAGTGGTGCGAGTGAACGGACGTTTTTGGGATTATTTTTAGAGTTCTCTGTGAACCCTCGACAATAAAAACCACTTGAAAAGCTCCAGTGCAAAAATTACAGTGGGCATCCATCATATGAAAAACATGACCCCGGCTCCTGTAAAATGGTATAAAATTTTTGTGCTTTTCAAAAGGCCGGCAACTCAGGTCCTTGGCTGACACAAAGACATAAAAGGCTTTTGCCCGCTGAGGTTTGCTGTATTTTACAGGCCCTACATGATTACATCTTTGCTTCCTGGCCGTGTTGTATTTCTCGTTTTTCCAGGGATCCCTCCAAACTTAGTTAAGCAGAGAAAGGCTGTTTGGTGGGATGGGATTTGTTCAACAACTGTGATGTAGGGCTGCAACTAACCATGATTTTCATTATTGATTAAAATGTCAGAAATACTAAAAAAAAAAAATGGTGATCACACATTTCCAGAGCCAAAGCTGGAATCTTTAAACAGCTTTTTTTTTTTTTTGCCCAACCAGCAGCCCAAAGTATAAGATATTTAAAGGAATAGTTCAACATTTTGGGAAATACACTTATAAATCTTTCTGTAGAGACTTTGAATAAAGTATTGATACCACTCCTAATGTCTTTATTGTATATATTAGACCACAACTAGCATCCAGATAGACTAGCATAGCATAAAGACTGGAAACAGGGGGCAACCGCTAGCCTGACTTTGACCGAATGTTTTTTGTAGACTAAAATTTACCATATAGACATGAGAGTGGTTTCAATCTTCCCTTCTAACTCTCAACAAGAACACGATTATGCATATTTCCCAAAATGTCAAACTTTTCCTTTAAATTTACAACAACTCAAATCAGATTTAAGAAGCTGGAATCAGATATCGTTTGGCATTTTCTCCTGATAAATGGCTTAAACAATGATTTAACAATCAAAATCTTTGGCGATTATTTTTTTTGATGGTCCACAAATCAATTAATCAACTATTCATTTCAGCAGAATTGTGGTGGCTTTGTTGAAGTCAGGTTTTCCAAGAAGTTTTAGTTACAGATAGAAAACCGCAAATCTCAAGTAATCATTGTAAACTAATCCCCGTTCTGTAACATCATAAAGTCGCATTAGAGTCTAAGCCAAGTATAGGCTACTGGCCCAGATATTGTTGTATGACTGTATCCTTGTGATAATAAGATGAGAACTAAGTGGTGCAATGATGTTATGATTAATTTTGTTCTACAATAAAAGATTGATCAGCAGCTCAGACTAGAAATATGGATTCACAGAGGTGTAAAATGAAATCATCAAACCATAACTGTATCCTTGAAATGATCCAAACACTGTCACACAATGGGTGAATAATAAAGCTTTCATATGTGCAGGAAGCATCAATGAGCTTGCCTATTGTCTAAATCCATTAATTTTCATAATGTGCAATCAGCGCAGCTCTCTGTCTCGACCCCATAGAAATACCAATCGGCTCTCCACGTTGCGGTGCCACCATGGTAACTGGATTAACGCACGGCAGTGCACTTACTATGGGATGTCGAGATGATAAATGACAGCCTGTCTGGCACCAAATCTGTCTCCTAATCTCAGCTGGAAAACAAAGGACACGGCTGGGAGACAGCAGAGATGAATGAATATGTGAATGAATTAAAGAGAGAGAGAGAGAGAGAGTGTGTGTGTGTGTGTGTGTGTGTGTGTGTGTGATGTGTGAGGGAGGAGGGAGGGAGGGAGGGGGGGGGGTTATTCAGCATAAAAGGGTTTGAGGATGGTGTAGGACAACAACATTGAGTTAATAGTGACAGAGGAAGATTTAAGAAAATGCAGACAGATGCACAAACAAGCAGGAAAACTCTCTCTTTCACACACTCACACACCATTGGGCCGTAGCTTCTCACCTTGTCAGGTGCTTGGCTCTGGAGGCTGCCAACATCCAGTGGAGTGATGAGGGGCACATTTTGAAAGCCGTCCTCCACGCTCACAGGTTTGGCCCCTTTGTCTTGAAGATTACTCCCCAGTTTCACCATCTTTCACCGACCTTAGATATATTCCCTTATTTCCCTGAAGACTGCTCCTGAACAGAGGAGGTGTTGGAAAAGGATGGTTTTACCTACACAGCTCTTTCAGGTCAATGAAATCTGGCAGACACCTACAGGCTATTTGTTGGAGAAGCTTCTAGTGTGTTAAAATGATATGATGATGAGATATTGATTGTAAGTACACAATAAATATGAAAAAAAATGTTTTTAAATTACTGTTTTGTTGAGAAACATGCGACTGATTGGTGACTGATTAGAGGAGCAAAACACTCCAAAAAGCAAAATGACGGGAAACCAAACAGAGGAAAAAATACCTTCGTCAACAGCTTGTTAATGAATCGCACAAAAACAAGAATAGAAAATTTATTGAAAACGGGTAAAAGAAGCAGTTACTCACAGCGGATCGTCCTTGTCCGTCCGTTCCCTCTGTGCTGCGGCAGTGTTTGTGTCTGGACGGAGGCGGAGGGGAGCGCAGATGATGAGCAGAGCAGGAGGTGAGGCTGGAGGCTGCGCTGCTGTGTTGCTGCTGCTGATGGTGCTGATGCTGCGGGAAAGCGAGGCTGCACCGCCGGAGACAAACTGGGTGTCTGGCGGCAGGTTTTCCTACCAGCAGGCAGTCCAACCCCCTAATCCAAACACAGCCTCTTCTTCACCGTGTGCTGCTACACACCCAGCCGCTGGAGCTGCCACTAGGGGGAATGTTTTTTTTTTTTTTTCTTCTTCTTCTTCTTCTTCTTCTTTCGGGAGTCTCGTTTGTTTGGCTAAAGTGGAAGCCGAATTAATGTTGCCTTTCATGGCCCCTCGTAAACTCCTGAACTCCAAATTGTAATTAGTGTTTATTATGATTGTAAAGATATATGCTCCGTTGTATGTTGTAGGCCTGTGCTGTTGTTTCATCTTTAATAACCTGGGCTAATCATAGCTTGGTTTGACTGTGTGAATTCAGATAGCAAAGTAGGATAGTGATTGTAGCTTAATGTCTGGGTGGCAGCTCAAATTTAACCCAAATTAAAGACAACAAAGTACATGAGCCAAATTAATTAATCAATGTATTTTGCAAATATTGATTCAATATCAATGATCTGCGCCCCCTGATTGTAGCTCTAGCAAAAGTAGAAAATTCAAGCTTTCCTTATTGTTAATTTCAAGCATTTCTAATGAGGCAACAAATAAGACACACAATATTTCCCACGATACTTGAAAGCAGTAAAACATGTGGCGCTCAAACTGGTTCTTTTGGTCCTACAGCGCCATCTGCCGGTTTATTTAGTGACACACAGGCAGTCTGTTCAACAGGAGGGTGTGTCTGTACAAAAACTCTATCTGTGACAGAAACCATTGAGAAGATAGATGTGACTGTGTGAAAAATATGAAAAGATTTATGGTTTGCCAAATTGAATAAGACATGCTCAAATAATAGGCTATAATAAAACTCTAAATGGCAAGTGAATGCAGCATAGCAGAAAAAAGGCAAATTTGTGCAGATGTGTTATAAAGATAAACATTTCCTAAGGTGGTTTAGAGGCTCGATAACAGGGAGGGGCCTGGTTAGCATGATCCTTTAGCATGGTGTGCTAAACAACCTCAAAAATGTCATCACCTGCTCTGTCTCTCTTTCATCTGACTAAATCTTTGTTAGATGTTTAAAAGAGAATCCTAAAGTCAAGATTTTCTGCTTCTCTCTCTTTCGCAAGAGTTTGTTGATGAATGTCTGTGACAATATAATCAGATTATCCACATTATCGGTTACAGGGAATTAAAGGTGCTAGGTGTAGCATTTATTTATCACCATCAAATTAACTGTGATAACTTCAGTAACAAGAACCACTTCATCTAATTACTCCCAGCCTTCTTGCCTTTGTGGACACTGCTCACCAGCAATGCTTAACGTGTTCCCATCCAGGTTTTCTTATCTATCCGGTACCTGAACCATCACTTCCTGTCTGGTTTCCTGGGTTTCAAGCACAGTTGCATGCAGGGACAAAGAAGACATATTGTCATATCTTCCACAGGGGGGAAGCAGCATTCTTTCCTTTGCCGGTGTTCATGCAGGACTTCCTCAACTAAAATTGATTGATTGTCTACTGCTGTTTGCAATTTTTTCCCTCCCTGCGTTGATGAGTTGTGGTATCTCTGGAAGACTGACAAACTACAATGTGGCATTCCTTTAGGTAACAACATGCTATCCATCCACCTCATCTCTGGATCTATCTGAAAGTAGGGAACATAACCTTTCACAGATTAAACACAAGGAAATTGAACAATTTAACAACCCAATCCTCCTTGCTGCCCAGCTGGCAATGGCACTTAATGACAGGGTGTTATTTGATGTCATCCTTAAAGACATGCAGGTAACAAGTCTGTCTCAGTCAACACTGATAATGCCATGGGCCTTGTCATGTCCCTACCTATTAAGCAAGTGCAAAAGATTGGTATCAATATTGGTAGGGACGGAAGAACCCCGCTACCCCTCCAAAACAAAGAGATTGACTTTTTAATGCCGTCAACCAAACGGTATATTAAATTATAAGATCTGAATTTACATTCAGAAATGCCCATACACGAATGAAATATATGTACATGTATTGAATATCTTAACACATGCTAAAATATATATAATCTAACATTTAACTATGAAAGATAGACATGTATGGTAAAAAAATAAAGAAATTATTAGTAAAATCATATACAGAAATATATCATTTTAATAGGTATGTTGTTTTAATAAAGTTGAATTTAATTATGGGTATTTCATATAAATTATGAGATTATATATTCATATATCGAGAAAATGTATATGTGTCATATTAATATGTCCTCTTATAATTGAAATATATGGTAAAATCACTCGATATAGGGACAAATATGTCATATTTATGCCATACGTCATAGTATAATAGGGCATGAAAACGCCATATTATGATAAGGTATAAAAACTCATAGTATAGTAAGGCATAAATAGCTCATAGTATAGTAAGGCATAAAAAAATCATATTATAGTAAGAGAATAGAAAGTCAGCAATGTAAGGCATTAAAATTTCATATTGTAGTAAGGCATGAAAAAGTAGTATCGAAAGGCTTAAAATATCATAGTATATGAAGGGATAAAACATCATAGTAGAGTAGGGCATAAAAATGTCAAAAAACTTCATAATATAATGAGGCATTAAAACGTCATCAAACATCAAATATAGTAAGGAATAAAAAGTAAGTATTAAGAAAGTAAGGCAATACACAACATAGTATTGTAAGACATTAAAATTTCAAAAAAAGTTCATAGTATAGTAAGGCAATACACAACATAGTATAGTAAGACATTAAAATTTCAAAAAAAGGTCATAGTATAGTAAGGCAATACACAACATAGTATAGTAAGACATTAAAATTTCAAAAAAAGGTCATAGTATAGTAAGGCAATACACAACATAGTATAGTAAGACATTAAAATTTCAAAAAAAGGTCATAGTATAGTAAGGCAATACACAACATAGTATAGTAAGACATTAAAATTTCAAAAAAAGGTCATAGTATAGTAAGGCAATACACAACATAGTATAGTAAGACATTAAAATTTCAAAAAAAGGTCATAGTATAGTAAGGCAATACACAACATAGTATAGTAAGACATTAAAATTTCAAAAAAAGGTCATAGTATAGTAAGGCAATACACAACATAGTATAGTAAGACATTAAAATTTCAAAAAAAGGTCATAGTATAGTAAGGCAATACACAACATAGTATAGTAAGACATTAAAATTTCAAAAAAAGGTCATAGTATAGTAAGGCAATACACAACATAGTATAGTAAGACATTAAAATTTCAAAAAAAGGTCATAGTATAGTAAGGCAATACACAACATAGTATAGTAAGACATTAAAATTTCAAAAAAAGGTCATAGTATAGTAAGGCAATACACAACATAGTATAGTAAGACATTAAAATTTCAAAAAAAGGTCATAGTATAGTAAGGCAATACACAACATAGTATAGTAAGACATTAAAATTTCAAAAAAAGGTCATAGTATAGTAAGGCAATACACAACATAGTATAGTAAGACATTAAAATTTCAAAAAAAGGTCATAGTATAGTAAGGCAATACACAACATAGTATAGTAAGACATTAAAATTTCAAAAAAAGGTCATAGTATAGTAAGGCAATACACAACATAGTATAGTAAGACATTAAAATTTCAAAAAAAGGTCATAGTATAGTAAGGCAATACACAACATAGTATAGTAAGACATTAAAATTTCAAAAAAAGGTCATAGTATAGTAAGGCAATACACAACATAGTATAGTAAGACATTAAAATTTCAAAAAAAGGTCATAGTATAGTAAGGCAATACACAACATAGTATAGTAAGACATTAAAATTTCAAAAAAAGGTCATAGTATAGTAAGGCAATACACAACATAGTATAGTAAGACATTAAAATTTCAAAAAAAGGTCATAGTATAGTAAGGCAATACACAACATAGTATAGTAAGACATTAAAATTTCAAAAAAAGGTCATAGTATAGTAAGGCAATACACAACATAGTATAGTAAGACATTAAAATTTCAAAAAAACGTCATAGTATGGTAAGGCATAAAAACATACAAAAAATGTCATAGAATTGTAAGGTGTATAAAAACATTAAAAAAATGTCATAGAATTGTAAGGTGTATAAAAACATAAAAAAAACCGTCATAGCATAATAAGGCATAAAAACGTCAAAAAACGTCATAGTATAGTAAGGCAAAAAAATGTCAAAAAACGTCATAGTATAGTAAGGCATAAAAACATAAAAAAAATGTCATAGAATTGTAAGGTGTATAAAAACGTAAAAAAAACCGTCATAGCATAATAAGGCATAAAAATGTCAAAAAACGTCATAGTATAGTAAGGCATAAAAATATAAAAAAAATGTCATAGAATTGTAAGGTGTATAAAAACGTAAAAAAA